TGCCTGAAAAATTCAGGCCAGGCCTGACAAGCCTTGGTCAATAAGAGAGGAGGAGAGAAAGTCAGCAGTTGGAAATCCCAACAGAAACAACACTATAGTTGTACATGGGATTCCAGAATTGCCAAGTGACCACTCGGTTAAAGATCGCTACTTCCACGACGTCCAACAATGGCAATGGCCCTCAACCAAAGTTGATCTTCACAGTACACCGGCCAACAGCGTCAGTAGACTGCCAAGGCCAGCGCATCTGAAGACCATACCCAATCCCAGACTACTCGCCGTCCAGTTCGACTCATATGCCTCCCTCACAGACGTTCTACACGCATGGTATAATGCGAAAGGTCGCATGGGTGGCTCAATACGTATGTGTGAAAGTAAGCCTAGACCCGCAAGGCAAGAGGGGAGACGGCAACCACCAAGACCTCCGGAGTCAGTGGTCGTCACACAGGCACTGACCAGTGAGTTAGATACATCAAGTAAAGAAGCCACCACTGCCACAGCCCCCACCCAAGTTAAGAACAAAACACAAAAAACGGAACAATGCCAGTCCTATGAGGACTGGCGAGGCTAGACCCAACCACGTAAGCGCTCATCCTGCGAAAATACACAACCAGACCTCCCCTCTCACCAGGCACACTCTAATATGTATGTGCAGCAACGTTAGGGGGCTAAGAGGGAAGGTAGCAGAAATGAGGACGCTGCGTGCACATCAGCACTCCGACATCATATTCATCACCGAATCCTGGCTCTCGTCGGACATCTCCGACGAAGAGATGCATGTTACTGGCATGGAACTCTTCCGCAGGGACAGGGAACATAGAGCAGGAGGGAGGGAGTGGCTCTCTACGTAAACTCCGTTTAAAGGCAAGGATGGTTAGCGATACGGCCTTAACCCAGCTCCCAGAATCTCTATGGTGCTACTTCACTCTCCACCGTACCAAATACCTGCTCGGAGTCATATATCGGTCCCCCACCGCTCCCCTACACATAAGGAAATGGTCATCAAGGCTATCTTAACGACTTCCTCTGCAAATTACGATTCCGTAGTCATTGCCGGCGACTTCAACACCCCGTCCATCCTCTTCGAGACGGAAGGGAGACGCATCAGATCCTTCAATCAGAAGCTGAAGGATGCAATTAAGACTGCTGGCCTCTCAGAGAAAGTGGGTGATGCTACACGCTGGGGACCTAACGGAAACGCATCGCGCCTTGACTACGTTCTGACGAACGATGAACTTCTCATTGAGGATGTTTGCATCCAACCTCCCCTTGGCCTCAGTGACCACGCTGTAATCACCTTCTCCATGATAACTAGGGAGGCTCTGCAACTGGAGACGCCCAACACCTTCCCTTGCTACAGCAAGGCCAACTATGAGACCATGAGGGACTACCTCATGAATGCATCATGGCCAGTGGACTGGACTCATCTCACAATAGATGAACACTGGTTGGAGGTGAAGAAAATAATCACTGGGGCCATCAGTCACAGTGTACCAGAAGTAACACACAGACAATCAATGAGAACCTCATGGTTAAAGCGTGGGACAGAGAGGCTTATCCGGAGCAAGAAGCAGGCTTGGTTCAAGTGGCGTACATCACGCAGGGAGTCTGACTTCTTGAACTACAAAAGGATTCGCAATCTCTGTAACATTAGAGTGCGTAACGACAGATTTTCCTACCAAACAAACTTGGCAGCGAGGTTACAAAGCAACCCCAAAAACTGTACCGCTTCATGTCAAGAAGAAAGTCGACCAGTAAGGGAGTGAATCTTGTCACAGGCCATGACGGGAGTGTGCTAAGCAGTCTAGAGATTGCCGAGCTTTTGAGCTCACACTTCCAAGCCCAACTCAGCACTGACACAAGATCCACACCGACTCGCACGACACCGACCAGGTCGCAAATAACGAATACCTCTGTCACGTCTCTATTACAGAGAAAAAGGTGTTCGAGAAGCTATCTAGGCTACGTCCGGGCAAGTCCCCTGGCTGCGATAACCTGAAACCAGTGGTTCTGAAAAACTGCGCCGAGGTGCTTACCAAACCACTTCGCAACCTCTTTGAGCACTCAATAGACTCGTGCAAACTCCCTAAAGAATGGAAGAGCGCCATCTTGTCACCCATCTTCAAGGGAGGAGACAGAAAAAGCCCTGGCAGCTACAGGCCAATTGCCCTACTCCCTATTGTGTCGAAAGTGTTGGAAAGCCTGGTAGCTGACACCATCTGGGAATTCCTCAATAGAGAAAACACTGTCCATACTGCTCAGCACGGCTTTCGTAGTGGTCGCTCATGTGCCACCAACTTACTAACTGCCTGGGACGACTGGACACAAAGCTGGGATAATAGAAAACCTGTACATGTTGTATTTCTCGACCTAGCCAAAGCATTTGACAGTGTCCCACCCACAGTACTGCTTCACAAGATCATGTCAGCTGGTATAAGTGGACCCCTACTCTCTTGGTTCAAGGAGTACCTGGAAGGGAGGCAGTTCTGCACTAAAGTGAACAGAATAAGGTCGGAGTGGAGACCCTCGACGTCAGGAGTATCCCAAGGAGCAATCCTAGGACCGCTTCTGTTCCTCCTGTTTGTCAACGATCTGCCAGACAAAATATCCTCACCCATCCTCCTCTTCGCTGACGACATAAAAATTTGGAGGGTGGTAAACGAAGAAGCTGATTGTGCAGCACTACAAAAGGACTTGCAGCAACTCGAGCTCTGGTCGTCGGAAAATGGCCTGAGCTTCAACCTGGAAAAGTGCAAAGTAATGCACATCAGTAAAAATGAGGCAAGTACGACCGACTTCCAGTACATGTTGAGCAACCGTGCTATCACCAGAGTGTCCATGGAGAAAGATTTGGGGCTCAACTTCTCCGACACCTTGGACACCAGCTCCAACTACAAAGGTATGACAACCAGAGCGAACGCCATTCTACACTTTCTGCGTAGACAGCTTGGCGCCCTCACTCCCGAACTCTTCCTCACCATTTTCAAATCCTACGTGCGGCCGCACCTAGAGGTCTTCAATACGGTGGCTCCTCCAACACTCAAGAGAGACTCTAATCTCCTTGAAAGAATACAAAGAACTGCAACAAAATGTGTTGTGGGGCTAAGGGGAAAGACGTATCCTGAAAGACTTAAACACCTCAACCTATTTACCTTGGGTTATCGCAGGAAAAGGGGTGACCTCATTATGGCATACAAGATCGCCCATCAGGCAGACCATGCAAACAAATCAATTTTGCCTGCAACTCAACGATCTTCACGAGGAAACCCCATTAAGATAGCACACCAGAGAGCCAACACCACACTCAGGTCCAAATTTTTCTCCCTGAGAGTATGTGCTTTATGGAATGCCTTACCGCGACACATCGTTATAGCTCCCTCAGTCGACTCTTTCAAGAGGCGATTAGACAGTTATGTCACCTCGCATGGACTACCACGGACGTACTCAGGTAGTCACCAACCTCAGTGCCCCCAACTCCCTCCTAACTACCACTCACTATCTCCCTCCTTAATACACCCACATTACCTACTAATTCTTCTGTAGGAACCAAACCCACACGACCATCTCGCAATTCCCAAATACTTTTCTTTCGTTCTCATTTCTCTTTTCACCCCTCCTTTTCTTCTCCCCTTTTCTCTTCCCTATATCATTATTTTTTTCCTCTTTTTTCTTTATTCTCTCTTCATTCCTTTACCACTACCTTACTATTCTCTTTCAGGTACCTACACAGACAGGAGTCACGGCAGTTCCCTAAACTTCCCAGCAACCCGTAGCTCCCCAATCACTCTACAAATTACAACTTACTAACCCACAAAACATCCACCTCACCGAAGCTAAAAGCAAGAAAGCAGAGGATATTTCCTCGTCCACTGCAGTGGTGTACCGAACAACTCGAACCAAGCCCTAAGAACTAGACGCGAGAGATCAAAAACCACCGGTTTTCTACGCTCGCACTATCAATATTGGATATTGGATCTGATTCACTTGGTATCTTTGAAAGGTCAAGAGGACTGAAAGACTTAAACACCTCAACCTATTTACCTTGGGTTATCGCAGGAAAAGGGGTGACCTCATTATGACATACAAGATCGCCCATCAGGCAGACCATGCAAACAAATCAATTTTGCCTGCAACTGAACGATCTTCACGAGGAAACCCCTTTAAGATAGCACACCAGAGAGCCAACACCACACTCAGGTCCAAATTTTTCTCCCTGAGAGTATGTGCTTTATGGAATGCCTTACCGCGACACATCGTTATAGCTCCTTCAATCGACTCTTTCAAGAGGCGATTAGAAAGTTATGTCACCTCGCATGGACTACCACGGACGTAGTCAAGTAGTCACCAACCTCAGTACCCCTCAACTCCCTCCTAACTACCACTCACTATCTCTCTCCTTAATACACCCACATTACCGACTAATTCTTCTGTAGGAACCAAACCCACGCGACCATTCGCGCAATTCCCAAATACTTTTCTTTCGTTCTCATTTCTCTCTTCACCCCTTCTTTTATTCTCCTTCCCTTCCCTCTTCCCTACATTATTATTACTATTATTTTTATTTTTAATTTTATTTATTTATTTTTATTTTTATTTTTATTATTTTTATTTTTTTATTTTTTTTATTTTATTTTATTTATTTATTTATTTTTTTTAACTCTTCCTTACTTCTCTCTTCATTCCTTTACCACTACCTTAATATTCTCTTTCAGGTACCTACACAGACAGGAGTCACGGTTGTTCTCTAAACTTCCCAGCAGCCCGTAGCTCCCTAATCACTCTACAAATTACAACCTACTAACCCACAAAACATCCACCTCACCGAAGCTAAAAGCAAGAAAGCAGAAGGGATTTCCTCGTCCACTGCAGGAGTGAAACGAACAACTGGAACCAAGCCCTAAGAACTAGACGCGAGAGATCAAAAACTACCAGTTTTCTACGCTCGCACTATCAATATTGGATATTGAATATTGGAGGACAGTTTAAACTCATGGAATCCTGGCAAAGACTTGGTGATGCTCCTCTCTCCAGGGTAAACCACCAAGCAATATGTCTTGGTGAACGTGTATATGTATTTGGAGGCTTTAACTCGCAAATGTTCGATGTGGACTATAATGAACGTCAAATAGATATATATTTATGGGATATTCGTAAGATGATAACATTCTATTCAGTTTTTAGGTTTTAATAGATGGGAACAACTCCCCTACCCTCTTTTGCTCAAATCCTGGGATTGTGTACATAGTTCTTGGGGATCGGACCCAATTTTTGAGGTAAGAGTCATGAGTTTCTCATATCCATATCCTAATCCAGTCAATATTTTCATGGGTAAGGCAAGAGGCCGTGGAGTAAATCTAGCAGTAAGGGAAAAGGGTTTCAGGACATATTTCGCTTTCTTGACCAAACTTTACTTCTGGTATTCCCATGGTTTTGTTTGTATCTACTTGTTTTCAAATTCACTCTCATTTCCGTCCTACTTTGTTTCAATTCTGTCGTCCGTTATTCGATCTGTACGACTCCACAAAACAGTTGAAGGTGATAGGAGAGGGTGAAGAAATTGGTTGTGTTTCGTTCCTAATGTCTTCGGTAAATGTTTGGCAAATATAGTGAACACCTTTAGTTAAGAGAGAGATGCAAATTGCCTTCACTCATACAAACGCCTTAGGTACACTGAATTTCTCTGACTTTACAATCTTTCATGTAATCGTCTTACCTGGGACAAACTTGTAACCAGTTTCTTAGTTTTGGATACATTTTATTTCAATTATCGTCATTCTTTACTTGATGCTCGACTTGTCCATGTTGAAGTACATTATAAAGTTCAGGGTTGTCTCATATACGTACTCTAGATCTTCCAAGAATTTCCCTATCATAAGATCAATGTTTGTGAAATCAGACAACGAGAAAGGGACCTCCATAAGACAGTTTGTGACGTAGTTGAGTAAGAATAGGATGGACATCCTGAAGAACACCACTCGATGCGTAGAACTCACTTGATAACTCACCATAGACTAACACGCTCACGCATGTTCGACCACAGAAACTGCGACAGAATCATGTACTTGCCTGGCACCCGTTTCAGTATGAGACACTGTCCCAAGACCTCAATCCACGGGGTCGAATGCTGTCCTTAGGTTGAGAAATACAGCCGAGTGCCATTAATGTAACCAATAACCTGCGACCACCCCTCTAAAATATCTCTAGTGCTAGCCTATCTACTCATACTACCCTTCCTTCTTTCAGGCTAATTACAGCTTTCTTACTTAAGTGTTAGAGGTCCTATATCTATGTTTCATTCAGGATTCTACTGGACGACGAAATAGTAGGTGAAAGCCAGTTGAACTGTTCCTCGGAGTGTTCCACCCATCTTTCTAGGCGTCTGGTTTACGAGTGGGTCGCAGATCCATCCTTCTCCGACATGATCTAACTAATCATTGACTATTTTGCTCTTTTTTCCCTGACAATCTGAGATAGCTGTCTACTGTTACCTACCAGTGCTACCTTTCCATCTTGCTAGCCTTCGCTACCTACCACTACTTGCGATCATTGTGTAGACTTATTGCCAGTCTACGTTTTAGTTTCCTCCCCTCTGTGTGCTTGTCGGAATGCGTTCTCGCGAGTGCACTAACTCAGAAGATAATCCCACGGTCCCATTGCTCCTTTTTAATCACATTTTGGTAGTGATTTACTGTCTTCGACACTCATTTTGGAGCAAACTGGGGATGGTATCAGACGCCTTCTGGATGGTTAGTTTTATTCTGTTATTAGTGTCTAGTCATTTCTTCGCCGAAGGCATCCTTAAGATTTTCATCGGCAAGCAGCACTAACAATGGTCTTACTGCTATTGTTTTCCTGCGTTTACTCAGGCGCAGACATAGACATGTCCGCTGTCCAAACACGTGCTGCATAAGTAACGGCAGTCTTCCATCAGCTGCCTTCAACGATAAATGATAGCAACATGATCTTTCTTTGTCAGAGTGTTAGTTGAGGTGGGTGTACACCACGTCAGACAGTTTCTGTCTGTGTGCTGGTAAGATATGGATGGCTGTCTGAACACAGATGTATCAGGTGGTTGCTGTTATCTGTTCATTCGGTGGGGATTCCGATAGCGCCAGTCATGTGCCTTTCTATGTAACTTAGCCTACTCATTTGTGCGTTGAAACCACCCGCTACGACAGCCATATCTGAACGTTTGGCTTTCGGTTGGAGTCTACACAGTCTTTGGTAGAAGTCACTCTTCAGTCGATAAGAACTGCTGTCAATGGGTGTGTAGGCAGAGAATACAAAGAGATAGCAGTGAGACCCACTATTCTTCTAATACCTCACTGTGCCACTCATCTGAGCAGAGTACAGGCTACCATCAACTCGAATCCCGTCGAGCAGTGCATTTTCTACTTAGGTCTCGATGCTATACCTACACTTGCGAAGCCACAGGAACCAACCATCAAATCTCCAGAAACTCAAAGGGGTGGACTTCACGGATTCGCCTTACTAACCGAGTGAATTTAAGTGAATAGACACACTATATGCGTGTTTCGTAAAAACGGTACTCGTCCGTCGTCTCAGGTATCAGGGTTTTGACCATTTTTACTTCATAGCATAGCCTGTGTTTCGTGGTGTCAGCACATAAGTAATGCAGAAGTCAGGCCCGGAGTTTTGGGCAGAAGAGGTAAGACAGTTGGTGCCGTTGTGAACGTTCATCGACTGAGATGACTGGGACATGTGTTACATATCCCTAGCCACCGTCTGTTTCATCGTAATGTTGGTCGAAGTAGGTTCAGGCTGGAAGAAGGCTCAGAAGAAGGCCAGATCAAAACATGGCATCAGTGCATGAGGTCCTTAACTGTTTGTTTGAGCTATGTAGGGCGATCTGGACTATCCGGTTGGGACAAGAAAAACCAGTGGTTGGAGACTCTAGGTGATATAACTGAGAACCGATGTCAGTGGTGCAGCTGCATACACACATTATAATCATCTTAACCACCATACCTAACCCATCATTTTCTCACTCCTCCTCCTCTTTCTCTCTTATTACTTTCTACTTCTTTTGACCGATCTTTCTTTCCTTATTCATCTTCTATCTTGTTGCCTTGTTACTTCATGTGCTGATATGAGATTTGGCAATTTGGACCGTTACCTAGTAATACATGGTCCTATGTTGATCTTGTTGGTGACACCTGCAGGACCATGAGAGCTAACCATCAAATCTCCCGAAACTTGGAGGGGTGGATTTCATGGATTCACCCTACTGGCTGGGTGAGTTGCAGTAAACACCGCGCTCGAGTCTTGTATGCGTCTCACAAACCCAGCATATATCTGTTGCCCGAGATGTCAGAATGAACCTTGTTAGCCGCTTTGATGGAGGAGGCGGACATTGAAATCTCCAATATGTAGTTTGGAGTATGGTTCCAGGAAGCAAGCGATGCTGTTCTGTGAAGTGGAGTCGTTATCAAGAGTTGAAGAGCTGGAAGAGATTAAGCGTGATGTAAGATTATTGACTGAGAGACGTGACGGAAGACTAGATGTTAAGAATGTGCTAGGTGAACAGTGATCTGAAAGTAATTGAGTACTGACAGTCGTGAGGGCGTTAACGCTTGCCAGTTGCCCACAATATGGAAGGCTACTCCTTCTTGAGGTGCCTGAAGAAAAAGAAGGGTTAGTTTTAGTGCTGAGTGAGCCCAGACTTCAAGAGACATCGACCTGTCATTCACTGCCGTTTTGAGAGTTTGAGACTGGCTTTTTTCCACATCCATCTTTGAACCTAAACTACTAGCATTGTAAGGAAGTAGTCTAAGGCCGAGTCCTGCTTCGGGAGTTGATCTTCTTTAAGCTCCCCTTTCTTAGGGAAGGTAGCATCAGCACGGAATGCTAGTCAGTTTCTGGAAACACTTTACTGTTGCCACAGCCCCGTCCTGTCAACTGTACGACTTCACCCTCAGAGCCCCATAGTAGCGTAGTAGTTTGCACTATAACTGTAACATGTCTTACCGCTACCCAATAAACCTTTCTAGTATGGTAGGACCTCGAGGGAACCATCGTTTCATTAGCATTGGTCGTCGGGTGGTTGCGAAGTGTAAACCCGACCACTATGTCAAGGTGGCAGCTATGGGTTAGGATAATGTTTTGAGGCAGAGGACAAAGTGGCTTCACGTGTTTGACCATTGTCGTCTTCGTAGCATAGGCCATGGTGCCATCACGTTAGTAACGTAGAGTTCAGGTGTGTGATTTTCAGTTAGAGGTAAGTCGGTTCTTGAGGCTTTAAACATTCATTGACTAGGTAGGTGGTAATGTGTTTCTTATGCCTAGTCACTTTCACATAACACCTACTGAAGTAGGTTTAGGTTGTAAAAAGGTTAAAGGGATTCAGAATAAAAAAACTGATGAGTTCGTGAAGTTTCCGACTGTTTGTCTGAGCCGTGTAGGGTAGCGTAGACTAGCCGGTTGGAGCTCGGGTAACAACCTAAATTAGTAGTTGGAGACTAGTTTCTAACTCATAATACTTATCAGCAGAAGGTAGCACTGCTGAAGTGCCGATCGCCTGGAGGTAATGGCCATACTTCTTTCCGATCAATAGTAGAACGTCACTGTCAAACTCTCATCATAAACTCAGTTGATTACTTTATGACGATTATTACTATTATTTGTCGCGTGGGTTCCTAGTTTAACGTTGGGCTTTAGTAGCACGTCACAATTTCACTCTCTTCTCTACAGTCTTCTTAACATGGCTCCACGACTGACCACAAGCTCTCATTTCTTTCTCACACCGTCTCCTCCATGTCACACTCGGACGCATAACTCGTCGTTTCCCCTTTGGATTCCACTCGAGCATCTGACCCGGCGCGTGATGTCCCCAATCGGCCTTCTCAGTGTATGCCCAATCCGATCCATCTCCACCTTATTCTGCATATTTGTTGGGAGATGGGTTCTTGGTTGGTTCGTTGCCAGGCCAGAGTTCCTTGTTGCTTATTCTTATTGTTTCTGGCCATCTGACCTTCGGTATCGAGTGAGCGTAGGCAGCTGTTGATGAATGTCTGTAGTTTGTTGGAAATGCTTTTCGTAACACGCCAAGTCTCTCAACCATCACATAGGAGCACTGACTTGACATTGGTGTTGAAAATCAGGATCTCGTTCACGCTTTATGCTGAGTGCAGTGCAGTAGATCTCCACACTGATTTCAGGTTAATGAAGGCCTGTCTTGCTGTCTTTCCGATCCTGGTTTTGACATCGTCTGTGCCGCCCATAGTTGAAACGATGCTACCTGGGTGGGTGAAATAGACTACTTCCTTTAGATTTCTCCCGTTGGTTTTGATTGGTGCTTGTTGTTGTTGGTGGTGGTGGTGGTTGGGTATCTTCATCACCTCTGTCTTCGCTATATTCACTTCAAGTCCCGTTTTCGCTGCCCTGCCTCTTCTGTCAACTTGTTGGTTTCTACCTGTAGATCTTCAAGTTTGTGCGACAAGACATGAGACATAAATCCGAATCTTCTAGGCTCTTTTCATCGGTCAAACGGCGTACGCCCATCTTCTCACAGTGCCTCACAGTTTGTTGCATGATCCAGTCGACCACAATCAGGAAGATGATCGGTGATGGTAGGCAGCAACCTTGTCTTACTCCTGTCTCCACTTCACTTCAAAGGCGTCACTGAGCTTTCCATTGTGAATCACTTGGCATGTTGTGTCGTCATATAGCTGTTAAATGAAGTTGATAAAGATTTGTAGCACTCCGTAGTGTTGAAGTAGTTACCAATTTACTTCTCAATCTTCGATGGCTGCTATAAATTTTGCCACTATCCGAAAGCATTTTCATGTGCGAGAACTTCAAGCAATAGTTATTCCAACCAGCCTAGTTCGTTTGCGTATTTAGATATGCAAGCCAATCTACTACTTCAACAAAGCATCTACCGATTGAAGTGTGAGGTTTCAGTTCCACAGGAATTATTAGTTCCAAACTATACAAAGGATGCATTGTTGTGACTTTTTAATAAATAGAGATTCACTTATTTAAGGCAGTAATTTTCTTGTGTCGTTGCGATTGTTTGTTTTTTATCTTATAGGTGATATAATATGGCTTGGAAACAAAGTCACTGTAGGTTTATTGTGGTCTTTTTTCGATTTTACCATAAACAGCACTGAAAATTAAGCAAGACGAAACGAAGGATTTTTTAAATCTCTGGTTCTATGTAACTTGTCATCACCACTTATCTTTTCATTTTCACTGTGTTATGTCCAAATCGTACCTGATTTCTTTTGGAATGAAAACACTTTTATGTGCATATAACGTATATAAAGCACCTCTGTAATATGAAAGCGTGTCAGCTAGTACTCAGAAAGCCTGGTCGAAACTTTCCGAACTTTGACACATGACTGCGATTAGATACCCATTTATCCCTCACATGAAATGTAGAACGCTAAGTTTTAAAACATTGGCATAAAACCACTTTAGCTCTATCCCTTCACCTTAATGTTACGTCCCCTTGCAAAGGGATTTTGTGAGTGTATAAATTTAAAATAGGTAACAAGTCAACTGGTTACATCGTGTTCCTCACATTCAATCATCACTTACCTAGACCTGTTATACCGACTGCCGTAGGAGATAGTTGGATAGGTTTTATGACAGTTTAACTACGGTAGGATATTCATATTCATTTTTTATTCTCCTTAAAATCTTGACCGTCTTATTACTTCCTATTCATTTTTTATGCGTACTCATGGTGTTCTTGTTTTTAGTATTCCTCCACTTCCGCTCACTTTCGTATGATGAACTTCCACTACACACACCGGAGCTGTGGCTCAGTGGTTTACAGAAATTGCTATCAAGTAATGAGTCTCTGGTTCGAATCCCGCCCCACCTACCAAAGTTTGGGCATCCATGTAGTATCACTAGCCCTCGCACAGTATGTCTGACTCATTGCCTACATCACAGACCGATTCAATTATCTGTTGTGTTCTTCGTTGTTCTGTTTGCTTGGGGATGCAGCAGTGCTGTAGATTATAAAATATGCACATGTAAGATGATTTGTGGTGTCAAACAAGTACTGACCACAGTGTAAATGTCACATTTGGTGGAAAAGTATGTGCATGTTCAGAACCGTAAAGTATTTATTAACGGTTTAACTTCTTTCCTTAAGCACTCTAATTTGTGGGTTTGAATTAGCTGCTTAAATAATTAACTGATGTGTTTTAAAGGTAGCATTCAGCCGACTGAAACGTAAGATAGTTGGTACGGAGTTTTCCTTGAACGTTTACTCGATTTCAAACCTATATCACCAGTATGCCATGATTTTAGTAGTAAACAGTAATTGTATAGAATAAACAGTTTTCCGTGAAAATTCACTTGTTTCTATGCACTGAATGATTTCTCTCTCGTTTTCTCTTAAGAGCACTGGTTCTATCCAACCCAGCCTTCGGTTCGGTCATACTGTTGTTGCTTGGCGTGGTCGAGGGTGGCTGTTTGGTGGAAGAATGCAACAGCAAGTGTGTTCTAATCAGTTGTACATGTTCGATCCTGGTTCAAAGTTTTCGCATAAATTTGTTGGCTTGTCTGCATTATCAAGTGGTCAGAAATGCAGTCACACAGCCAAAAAGTTTAATCCTCCATGCTGGGCTGAAGTTAGAGGGGCGGTCGGCAGTATACCCAGCGCTAGAGATGGTCATTCGGCTACTGTTTTAGAAAATGCAATGTTTATATTTGGGGGATTTGAGGATGTGGTGAGTCTTATGGCATTCATGGCTATTGTTATACGTATGAGTTTTTTTCGAAGATCTTTCAGATCCCATCGCTACTCCATTTATATTCATCTATATATTTTGCCTTAAAATTAGAAGTTTGAAAATTAAGTATAACTGCATGGTTTTTTCGATCGGCAGTCTAACTTTAACCACTGAGTGAAACATCGTAAGTCACTTCGATCGATGTTACATATTTGCAGGCAATCAGTTTGAAGCTGTTAGAAGTTTAGGTGTCTTGCTGACAGTGTCAATAAGCACGAAAACTGAGTGCACAGCTTTCTATCGACTGTCTTAAGCCTTCTAACAGTTCCGCATCGTTTACAGATTATCTTCAAACACGTTTGGCTTATTGGTTAGAGGATTTGACGTTCAAGTAATCTCTCCGAAGATGGCGTATAGCAATATAATGTATCTGTTCATCATTCGTTTGATATTGGCAGACGCCATATGAGACAGCATCTCTCCCTATACTTGTAGTTAGTGCTGGTCAGAAACAAGTGATTTTCAGAAATAAATTGCATGAGGCGATCACCACTGTCGATTCGTGTGCGTGGGATTGTGTAGATACCTCGAAGATGCCTTTCCGACTGGTTCAGCTTTTCGAATGGATCGTTGAAGACGCCTGCCGTTATGACTATGCCTGAACGTTTTGCTTTCTGTAGCAAAACTGACAGCTTTTGACAAGATTTGCCCTGTGTATCGTTGGACCTGCAGTCGGTTAGGGTGTGGGCGGAGATCACAAATAGACATCGGCAAGTCTCATGATCCTCTTTCTTCCAGATCCATTCAGTTGGAGTGCACACAGATGGCTGTTGACTGGTTTTCAGTCGAGAAGTGCCCTTTTTGACCGAGAAATTAATGCTACGCCTTAACCAGCGAGCCCATAGAATACTCGTAGAGTAAATTTTTTAAGACTCACTAGATTGGCTAAGTAAAGTCAAATGAATAACTGCACTCTGTTATTGTATAAGTTTCTTAGAGGCACAACATACATTCATGGTTCGAAATTCCAGGGTCCCGGCGTTCGATTTTTGTCGTCCGATTTGACATAAGCCCTGGACGTTGAAAGTTCCACTATGAAATTGACACCCTGGGTTTTAGGACAATAGGAACGCTTTTCCGATAACTTTGATCGTTGGGAGTGGTTGCAGATTGGCAGGTTGTGGAAGTTGTAAGGGGCTTAGCATTGGTAACAGAAGGTGAAGGCTATGAAAGTGACAAATGTAAGGAGGGCAAATTATGTTTTTTGAGTTTTGTTTACTACTGGAAGCGTGCATGTGGTTGATGCTTCCCGGCTGCCCACATCGTGGAAGTTAGTCAGTCGAGCGAAGTAACCTTATTTGTTGAGTGCCATGTACATAGGATAGAGTTGCTGATCGGAGTCAGTCAGTGTACTCGAGTACAGGGATGTAGCGAAATACAGAATGATATGCCACACTGGCATAAGTAATTTTGAGATTTCGGTTATCGTTGTGCATACAGTGACTCATTATCTCACTATGGGGTGGGACAGGGTGATATTTCTACAACCTGATTGAGCTAGGTGCAGAGGGAGAGAGATTGTTTACTAAATATGTTTTCATAAAATTGATGTAACATGTAACAGGAACGATGCGTCACCCTGGGAGAACAGAAAAACTTCACCACCAAAAATAAAAGGTTAGGAAACTGTTGGACTATAAAGTTGAAGTTTGGAATTGTGTAATCACTTTTATATGATTATATGTGACAAATTATCCTATAAGAGTCATCTAGCAAATAATGCTGCATCTCTGTATTACAGCAGCCTGCTACAATACATTTTTGAATATATTCTGTAATTTTTCTCTGTAGTTTGATAACTATGACAATGCGGTCTATCGGTTGGATTTCATTACTTGGAATTGGACTCGTATAGAAATCCGAGAGGAGGTAGTAACATTTCCATCTCAATCCATTCCTTCTGCTCACTTTGGTCCTAACTCGCATCAAGGTATTAGTCGTAACGGTGAAGATAGGATTTCACTAAATCAAACATCTTCCTCCTCACAAATCCCTTTGCCTCGTGACTTCGCCTGTCTTGCCAGTCACCAGGGCCGCATATTTCTGTTCGGTGGACGAAGCAAATCTCCTAATCACGCCTCTTGTGATGTTTACGATTCAGCTATGTGGGAACTTATTCCTCTTGTTCATGCTTCTGATTACTCATCGTCTGATTCTGCTGATTTGTCATCAGGAGACAGGTTAACTCCAGCAACATGCACTGTTTGTAATGCAGAAATGATTGACTACTTGGGGGCTACTCCTCGCAGTTTATTTCGCATTTTATGGGAAGAAGAAACTGGGAATTGGTCCGGGTATGTGCAGATTGACTCTATGTTTATTTAGAGATAGGTTATTTTCATTCATTGAATTGATGACGTTTTACCGATAATTTCTATGATTTTGAAATGGTGGAGAATATTTGTAGCTCAGGTGGATGGTCTTGGTTGTGTTGTGTTCTCCGAGTTGGTTTGTTTAGTCATGGAGCTTTCATCGTCTTTCTAGATGACATCTTCAGCAATAACTTCAGTATGAAGTTATTTAGAACCTGAAAGTTCTGGATTCAACTCCTGATGAGACGGAATCATGGGTGCGCACTGCTAAAGAGTCCAATACTAGGACGAAACAGCTGTCCAGTGCTCCCAAGTTTCCAATGTTTCTCCTACTGACTTCAGTCCATGATGAATACCAACCGGAAATATTACTATTACCTAGGATGTAGACGTATCCAACAAATGAGCTTCTCATTTTAAATGTCATCACGTGATATTATTACTATTTGATGAACGTTTCTCGGGGAATATTTGTTATAAACAATCTGATATTTCAGCAAAGATTAATCAGTTAGCTTCATGCGTCGAATAAAATGATTACTGAAAAGATAGATAGGTAAAAATATCTACGTAAGCTCTAAATTAAACTGGCTTTTTTTCTCACAATATCACGAAGAAAAAGATATATTCCAAGATTATCATTTCGGCTACCTGAAGTAGCCATCGTTTGGCAGACTTGAGTTGACACTGGGTGATGATTGAATGTGAAATGAAAATATGGGCCGCGATAGGATCCAAACTAGCGACCACCGAGTTTCCTACCCGATGCTCTACCAACTGAACTACAAGACCTGACTACTAATCAGATTTTTATTTCACTTCAATCGCCAAGGTTTTTGACTGAATACGTGATGCGTTACTTTCACTTGATAGTACTGTCACTGGCTACCCAGTCAGAACTTCTCATACAAAACCAAATCTACTTGAATGAGAGAGAGTGAGCGTCATATTGATCATCATTTTGATTTTCTGAGATAACCGTGGATTGGTTGACTTGTATTGATAGTAGGTTGGGTCTCGTGGCTCAGTTGGTTGAGCACTGGGCTGGAAATCCGGTGGTCGCTGGTTGGATTGGTACCACTACCCAGTATCAATATTCCGAGCTCTCTTTAAGATTATAATTGCAGTCAGGACAAACAACCTGATAAAGTGTTGAAGAATAGTTAGAAAAGTGCATTGTCGTGATGAGGTTTGTTTATTTATAGGTAATTAGAAGAACGATCCTAGAGTTTCTCTATGTAGCACTAACTAAGTTATGTATCAGTCTAGAATGAACAAGTAGCCATCTAACTTCACCTTTAGTTGTATTTACGACTTCACATGTACTTGGCGATACAAGTATTTTGGATGGATAGAAAGATGAACCTGTGTTCGTTTTCCTGAACATGCACGTCGTTAATTTGTTTAACACAAAAGCATGTTTCTTGTTTTGTCCCACACATTATGTATTTATCTTTGGCTGTGCAATTGTTTGGTTAGAAGTCATGGAATAGATATGAGTTCAGTTTATTCCGCCGACTTTTTTGTTGCTTTGATGACAAATAAACTTGCTTGTCTGTGGAGTTGTGACTCATTGGTTTTGAGGAATTAACTCTCCACTAGCGAGTCACGGGTTCGAACACCGCTCCACTTACCAACGTCTTGGCATCTAGCCAGATAGTATCATAAGCCCTTATATAATAGGGGTGGCTCATTGGCTGCCTATTGCATAAATGTGCGTAAGGTTACTGAATGGATTTCTGTTCGATGCGATTCGATTCACTTGTCTGCATAGCCGAGTTGACTTCCGAAAAATTCTCATGTTTAATTGTACTGAATATGATTGGCAAGTGAAACAATATGATGATGGAAAATAACTTGTCGATCATGTATAGCCAATGTTAAGCCGTCCAGTTAAAGAAGAAATCGCGATACCGTTTCAACTCGATCTATTCTCGATTATGTCACAGGTATGTAATGTTTGAATTAAACAAATCATAGCCATCTTATGTAGTTCGAAGGTGGTAACCTTAGTTCATGCTTATTTTTCTAACATCAGGGATATTTTCGTGACTTAATTTTTCAGTTTCACGTTTCTGCAATAAATTACTAATTAGTCTTGCGTAAGAAAGATTTTCATTCATAAGTGCCTTTATTTTTTTTTTTATAGTTAAACTTTATGGTGAAATTCACTAATTTATACTGTTCATTGTTTTTCACTGAATTTTTGGTGTAGGTCTGAATTCTGGGCAACTTCTCCGCCTCGACCTTGTTGTCTATGGAAATTTCTGAATTGTAGAACACGAAAAAATCAGCGTGTACACCACAGTTGCAACAAGCTACCTTCACAATATCATTCTCGTTGGTCAAGTGGGATTGCAGTTTGGGTTATTCGTCATCCAGGTTATGGTTTACAAGTACCAGAAGTTCTCCTCTCACAAATAATCAACAAAGTCAACGGACCATCAGGACATGATTCAAAGTCATCAGGATTTGTCCAATCGTCGTCAAAGCTAAGCTCACCTTATGGTCGTCGAAGTCTTTCACACTGTAAGTTTGTAATATTCCCTTGGATTTTTCATACTATTTATTGTCGTATACAGTTGGAAACCACTGATAAGAAGACAGATAGAAGTTTTATTTTGTTGGAGTGTGAAAAGTGAAATACAAATCTCACGAAACGTAGACAGTTCGTCGATATCTTACCTGGCACCAACTATAACTCTCAAGGAAGCATATATCCTCTACATAAACACGTACCGGTGGGTCAACGTGAAGAGACTCTACACTTTGTGATTAAGTGGTACTGGGTTCGTATTGTTGGGTCGTGAAAACCGGGGACGTTTTGTGCCCCGGCGATTACGAGTCGAGCTCAGTTGTGTACGGTAGTGAGCCTATTCATGAACCAACTGGATATTACCCAATACACTCAAATTGACCTAGCGAAAACCGCAGTCTACGAGATGCATATACGCAAGATCAGCAGCACATGTCTCCAAAGTATGGCTAACTAAGCGAGAGGGTTCTGGGTTAACATTGATCACTTTTAGGAGGCATCAAAATGCTCTAGCAGAAGTGTTCGTTTCCAAGTAGATGCATTGCTCGGATGTTTCCTGCTCGATGAGGGGGCCGATACACCAGGTTTGTTTTGGAACCTCCATGGATTTGAAGACTAGCCTGAAATTTGGAAGTGAGCTGAAAATTGGAGTGAAACCTCAGATAAAAGATGATTTGTCGATATTTTCTTGAGTTTTTTCCCCATATACTAAAGTAATACACTGAACTATTTCGATATTAGGCTTAGAGTTTAAAGTAAAGGGGATAAATCAGCGGTTAGTGTTTAGACTTTCTCCGCAAAGATGGTACTAACATGTGCTGGATATGTTTAGTCACTATCTGCCTAAACATGCAATATTTTGTTGAGTAAATTTACAAAAGTAATCAAAAGAAAATATGACGAGTATCGGTTAGCTCTTTGGCTATTATTCTGAATCATCGAGAATAGTTTAGATGTTATGGCGTTCGCTTTTGTGTCCTTGATTGTACGGAATTGATCGGTCACTATTGGCATATAGGCTGCTGTGCGGATGCATCGATATTCCCGGTATTTCCAGTTCCACTATTCGTCATTAATACCAAACTAAAAATGCCGGGAGTATCGAGGCATCCGCACAGGAGCTCGTGGAGGTTGTTATGTCCTTCAAAATGAACATTTTATGCCTAAATTTTTATGAATTTATCTTATGGAAAATTTGAATTATCTTTTTAGGAGCCTTTTTCTGCCCCACGTGTATCGCTGAATTTTGCCGCTTTTAAGAACTCTATTTTTTTTATTGGTTAATCTCTCATTTAATATACTATTTTGTCGATTCGCCTTAAGGGCGTGTGCACGGTATGTAAGCGCAAGAGTTGTGTTCTTGTGTTGTACCTTTATACCTGGATTAGAGTAAACTCGCTCTAGTCCAACATTGTCTTCATATGTCGACCGAGCCAGTAACCAGATTACGCTTCCACAGTTAATCGTGCCCGAGAATCTCAACAGAGCCCAGATACAAATAATGGCCGATCAATTCGGTCCAACCAATGACAGGAAATTACAAGCTGTAATTTCTAAACCATATTACGCTCGTCGCAAAAGGGGCGACTGTTGTGACTCAATGGCGTAGGAGATAACACTCTGGAGTTTGAGGCTATTGGTCGTGGTTTCCTATCTCAGTGGGAACATCACCACTCACTAGGAGGCAGGTACATCCAGATGACGAGTCCACAGTAGGGCGAAACATGTGTCCTACTAACCACTACCCACTATTAATATCATTTGAGAATATTCAGGGATTCTGACTAGCGTCTTGTCCAACAGAAGTCTTTGAAACGATGCCATAATCAACGTAGTTCAAAGTCTAGATCACTTTATTTCTCTGTATAAAGTGTATGGCTGTTTTCTCGTCACTCCTTCCTTATTCCTTCTAGTCTTCTTCTTGCCTTCTTTTATATTTTCATCTTTTGTGTTTTCTTTGTTCATTATCACTATGCTTTAGAGTTAAATCTAGTAATGGTTAATTTTCCATGTTCACAGTTGTTCTCAGATGAAACAGGTCACTGAAAATCGGTCTGTTTTGATTTATTCAAAAAGGTAATAGACAAAAACTGTAGGATTGAAACTTTAGCTAAATTGAAAGCTTGAACAAACCTGAAATTGTCTCAATAACGTGTTGATCCAAAACCGCTTTCATCAGAGCTTAACAGGAGAAAATTAGTGGAAAGAAACCCACTCAACCACCTTGTGCATATCCATGTAGTAGGTAGTAAGCCACACCTGTTGTGTGAAAGCTAATGATACTACCTGGCTGCCCAAACCTCTGTAGGAGGAGCAGGGTTCGAATCTGAAATCCGCTGGCTGGCAGTCATCTCCCTAAGCCACTCACCTACAGCTCCGAAAATTAGTGAGAGGAATAAGGTATTACGGAGATGCTGAAGAAGGGTAGTGAGAGATGAATAGTATGTCAGACAGAAGCTTATTTGCAACTTAGGTTTGTTTGGGAATTATGTGTATCCTTGTGATTGCCATCAGTATTCAACATCACCTTAGGTTTTTAGCAGCATCTGTCCTCTGATGGATCCACGGTAAGGAGGTACATTAGCTAGAGCACCATAAATATCCATAAGTATCGAGGCAGCCGCACACGAGCCCGTTTGCCAACAGAGGTCGAGCAGTTTGGCCCCGTACATCAACGGGGACTTGTAAATTTCAAAACAACGTTAGCTGTATGGCTTATAGGGTTAGTATCTTGGTCTCATTTATTTGAAGCGTAGTCTAGTCTACTCAGCAAGCAGTCTACTTTTAGAGAATTAATTTTTCACTAAATATTGGGTGTTTTTGAGGTAAATCCAGTCATACGTTTAAACCATGAAACCGTGTGAGTGATTCCCCACCTGTGTATTTAGTCACACTAGTTACGAACTAGAGATATTTTGATCTAGCTGCTGAGGGATCCGTGAGATATAACCCAACTTTCCCACAATGAATTCACGCAGGTAATCATATAGGCATTGCAAATTCCCTAACTCAACAGCGCCATCAAACTTCAATGGTGATAAAGTCTTTCGCTGATATCTTGTTGAAATGTGTGTACGTGTGTTGAAGGTAGGTGGTAATGTGTTTCTTATGCCTAGTCACTTTCACATAACACCTACTGAAGTAGGTTTAGGTTGTAAAAAGGTTAAAGGGATTCAGAATAAAAAAACTGATGAGTTCGTGAAGTTTCCGACTGTTTGTCTGAGCCGTGTAGGGTAGCGTAGACTAGCCGGTTGGAGCTCGGGTAACAACCTAAATTAGTAGTTGGAGACTAGTTTCTAACTCATAATACTTATCAGCAGAAGGTAGCACTGCTGAAGTGCCGATCGCCTGGAGGTAATGGCCATACTTCTTTCCGATCAATAGTAGAACGTCACTGTCAAACTCTCATCATAAACTCAGTTGATTACTTTATGACGATTATTACTATTATTTGTCGCGTGGGTTCCTAGTTTAACGTTGGGCTTTAGTAGCACGTCACAATTTCACTCTCTTCTCTACAGTCTTCTTAACATGGCTCCACGACTGACCACAAGCTCTCATTTCTTTCTCACACCGTCTCCTCCATGTCACACTCGGACGCATAACTCGTCGTTTCCCCTTTGGATTCCACTCGAGCATCTGGCCCGGCGCGTGATGTCCCCAATCGGCCTTCTCAGTGTATGCCCAATCCGATCCATCTCCACCTTATTCTGCATATTTGTTGGGAGATGGGTTCTTGGTTGGTTCGTTGCCAGGCCAGAGTTCCTTGTTGCTTATTCTTATTGTTTCTGGCCATCTGACCTTCGGTATCGAGTGAGCGTAGGCAGCTGTTGATGAATGTCTGTAGTTTGTTGGAAATGCTTTTCGTAACACGCCAAGTCTCTCAACCATCACATAGGAGCACTGACTTGACATTGGTGTTGAAAATCAGGATCTCGTTCACGCTTTATGCTGAGTGCAGTGCAGTAGATCTCCACACTGATTTCAGGTTAATGAAGGCCTGTCTTGCTGTCTTTCCGATCCTGGTTTTGACATCGTCTGTGCCGCCCATAGTTGAAACGATGCTACCTGGGTGGGTGAAATAGACTACTTCCTTTAGATTTCTCCCGTTGGTTTTGATTGGTGCTTGTTGTTGTTGTTGTTGGTGGTGGTGGTTGGGTATCATCATCACCTCTGTCTTCGCTATATTCACTTCAAGTCCCGTTTTCGCTGCCCTGCCTCTTCTGTCAACTTGTTGGTTTCTACCTGTAGATCTTCAAGTTTGTGCGACAAGACATGAGACATAAATCCGAATCTTCTAGGCTCTTTTCATCGGTCAAACGGCGTACGCCCATCTTCTCACAGTGCCTCACAGTTTGTTGCATGATCCAGTCGACCACAATCAGGAAGATGATCGGTGATGGTAGGCAGCAACCTTGTCTGACTCCTGTCTCCACTTCACTTCAAAGGCGTCACTGAGCTTTCCATTGTGAATCACTTGGCATGTTGTGGCTTCATATAGTTGTTGAAAGAGATTGATAAAGGTTTGCAGTATTCCGTAGTGTTAAAGCAGTTTCCAAATTGATTCTCGGTGGACGCCGTCAAAGGCCTTCTTAAAGTCGATGAAGTTGAGGTAGAGGGTTGACTGCCATTCTATACTCTGTTCTATGGTGATGCGTAGTGTAGCGTTGCAATTTGGTCAGCACATGATTTGTTCTTCCTGAAGCCAGCCAGCCAGCCTGTTCCGGTCGTAATTTTGAACCCAGAGCATGTTTTGGTCTTTCCACGATGACGCAGCTTAATATTTTGCTTGGGGTGGACAGAGGTGGAACATGATTCTGCGACAGTTCTTGCAAAGACTTAGGTCGTCCTTCTTTGGGAGTTTGATAAGGTAGCCCTTTTTCCAATGCATCAGCAGGTACCTTTCCTTTCAAACCTTCTGCATGTCCTCTGTTGTCTCTGGGTCTGTTTTCAGTGCTGCTGGAGGACTTTCATCTGGTCCTGCTGCTTTCTC